CCCAGAGCAGGGCACTCTGAGCATGCACCCATCATGCCAGCAGCCTTTCCCTCATACATCCAGTATTCAATTCACAAACACAGAGCAGACCCTCCTATAAATGGGAACAGTAACTGAGGGTAGTGTTGAGAGTTAAATGAGAGAGTAGCACAATGCCTGATATGCCGTGCTGTCATTAACAAACAGTAGCTCCAAAGGAGGACATAGCTGCCTCCTCACCTAGGGCCCCTTATCAACCATCCCCTTGATTTCTACTCTCTCTGCAGACGACCATTCCCGGGTGAGACTGCTGGTGCTGGATGGAGACCCGCACTCTGACTACATCAATGCCAACTACATTGACGTGAGTGTCTTAATGGGGCTGGGTGCTGGGGATGGCTTTTGCAGGCTCAAGATCTGTGGTTTACCCCAAACTCTCCTCCAGAAGGTGGTCCTTCCAGAGCAGTCTGGATCCTCCCTGATACGTGGAACTAGTGTAACCCAAGTTGACTGTCCATCTTATGCTGTATCCTCTTTCAGGCTGGCTGTAGTAGCCTTTAGTATAATGCGCTGTCTAGCACAGTGCCTGCCTGACACATGGTAGATAGTCAATGAATGGATAGATATGGGGTGTGTCTTATACCAGCCCTAGGCCTGTTTGTCCATAACAGGACCCATTCCTTACCTTCTCCCACTCTACTATTGCAGGTAACTGACCCCTGTAGGTTGCATTTTTCAGGCTCTCCTGTCAGCTGTCTAGGTTTGGCCAACGACATGCACTGGGAGACTGGAGAGAAGAAGAAAGGGAGAAGCCAGGGTATTACAACTACAGTAGCCTTCCTTAGCAGGAATCTCTGTTTCCAGTGCTATGGGCCCCAGGGAGGCATAACTCAACAAATAAAGGAGATTTCTGAATCAATAAGTCATAATGAGACCATTGAGTAAACCTAGAGACAGCTGACAGGAGAGCCTGAAAAAATGCAACCTACAGGGGTCAGTTACCTGCATAGTAGAGTGGGAGAAGGTAAGAATGGGTCCTGTTATGGACAAACAGGCCTAGGGCTGGTATAAGACACACCCATATCTATCCATTCATTGACTATCTTGCCATGTGTCAGCAGGCACTGGGCTAGACACGGGGATTATACT